AATATCTTTGCAGATTTGCATGTAAATAATAATAATAATAACTTAATAATATCTCAACTTTATGGACAAAATGAAAAAGAACATATAGTGCTTGAGCTTTATATGTGCATATATATATTCTTTCATAATCACAATCCACAATCTCAAACCAGTGGCAAGAAATTTTTATTCTTGGAACACATTGTTAATAAACTAAATTATCTCAAACATTCCATTTAAGAAGGATAAGCGATTAGCAATGGGAAACTCTTATTAAAAATATTTTTAGGCATGGAACATGCTTTGTAAATTAGTTTAAGCTTGGTTTAATTAACTACTGGCAATTTTGTTTTAAGTAATGGATTAGAAAGATGTAATTTAGTGTCTTTAGTGTCTTGAATAAGCACAAAAGTGGGAGGCACCATGAGAGGAGAGGTTCCCTAATACACTAAAAAGGTTCAGCTTTCTCGTTGACTTACCCATAAAGCCTGGCAAATTTGGAGGTAATAAAGGGAATCCTATCCCCTCCCCACAAAGGCTTTCATGAGGATTCTTTGTTAATGGTTCTCCACTCATTGCTTGGAGTAAGCTCTGATGGCATGCATAAACTCTCTCACTCTCTCTCATACACACACACACACACACACACACACACACTCACACTCACTACGCTCTCCCTCAAGGTGTGTGAGGCATGTGTGCCCTCAAAAGGAGGGAGTGAATTGAAAAGTAGTCACTGTCTTTGTTCCTTATTGATGTTCTCTTGTGGGGGTGAGGAATAACTTTTTGCATACTAGAAAGATTGGGTTTTTTTTTCTTTTATCTTTAAAAGGTGGTCTTTTGAGGGAGTAAAGTAAGTGGGAATAGGCAACACCACTCAAAAGCTAGCCAAGTATCATTTTGGTCTTCCTATTCCATTTCATATATGGATGCTCTTTAATTTTGGCTTAGTGCATGAAAAGTTATCATATGGTCTTAAAGATTCTTCATTGGAAGTCCAATACAAAGTAGTGCTAGTTAAAATCCTTTTGATTCCCCCGTAGACAATGGGAACCTGAATTGTTCCAATTTTTTTCAAAAGCAATCCAATTAGTATTTCAAACAAGACCACTGGGCATGGATGTTATGCACTATTCCATAAATGTGACGTGTATGCATAATGCACCAAATTTCAAACAATTCCATTTTCTAATGGTGGACACAAATCCATTGCAATAACCCACAAAAGCATATATTCTCTGGAACTTTCCACGCATCTTAAATCTCATTTCACTATCAACATGAACTCATTGCATCAGCATGTTTGGAAGTTGGAACCCTTTGCCTTAGTTAAAGTCAATGTATTCTGGTTCTTGCAAGGATATGCTCTTACAATTAAGCACTTCATCATCTATCTTCTCTCTTTTTACTATATGTTACCCACACATTAACCGTAGTTTACTTTTCTCTAATAAATTTTAATTCTGACATTTCTCACTCGAATTATGTGTATTTGGTTTTGGATTAGTAGCGTACTTATGATGTGTCACCCAAAAAAGTGTAATGAAAGGTTCCTCAACGTTAATACGAAATGACTAAGTCAAATAGTCTTGAAGTTCGCGATAGCCGATAAATATAACAATCATATATATAACGTCGAGATTCTGTTCATGAGAGTTATTTATTTATTTCTAGAATATCACATGTATATGTTATTATATCGCTATTCAAAAATGGAAGATTTGTATAAAATTCTTCTAATAAATCCAAGTTTTTCATGCTGAAATTTCAAGGCTCTAGAATTTGACCATTCATTGCTAATTTTGAGGCCGGTGTGATACATTGACCGAGAACAGTATCTTGATTTTGATAATGTTAGAAAAATATGTAGCACCACAAATGTTTTACAGTGTTCGAGGAGAACTTTACAGGCGACTTCATTATTATAAGAGATGAAGACGTTTAAATCCAAATCTGACTTACCCCTAATATGTAATTTCTATTGGCCTGGCTTTCGCATCCAAATTTCCAATTAATAATTTGTTATAAAAAAATATTAGAAGGGAATAGTTTTAAAATATTTTTGCAGTGATTATTTTAATAATGCGCCAATAATATGTTGAAGAATAATATAAAAAAAATCACACTAATAACATATAAAAATAAATAAATTCTTTAACTATTTGTAATCAGTAATGTTAAATCCCAAAAAGAGTAGCATCAATTTCTCATAGCAAATCTTATTACCATCTTAGATTCATAAAACCAAAAAAATAAAGCATAGAAGTATTTATTATCTTAGAAAAAAATTAATTATTTGATTTAATAATGAATATAGTTGATTAGTTAATTTATCGGAAATATGTATAACCCAACATTGCTGGTTACTAAGTATTACTAAGTTAATTATGATAATACACTACTCGAGTAGCTAGCTAAGAGTAGCTAATATATTATCAATGAAGATTCTATAAACTATATATACTTACATAACTCATTATGGAAGCAAAAAATTACTCCTTTTGAATATCTCATTAAGTGAGTATGACCTATATTTCATGCAAAAGATTTATATATAAATAAATACTTGTGCCCAAAACTGGAATCAATATAAACTCTCCACTTCTAAAGAAGACCAACTCCTTACACAAAAAAAATCTTATAGTATTGCTAAGATAAAACCAACGAGGCATTCATAAAGATCCTTTAAGAACCGATTGGAGTTAATATTACATATCGTTTCGTATTTTATAGTTACTATAAAATAACACTTTGGTTTCACTTTAACATTTTAATTTTGTCATTTACGCATATATTATAAATATATTTGGTTTTGGGTACGCAGGGTTATTTTTTGATTGTTTATTATGAATAAAGAAAGCTCAATATATCAATTAAAATGTACCCAGATTGGCGAAACACATTCTTCGAGGAAAGGAAGTGGACCTTTACCTATCGTGATTTTGACTTAACTATATTTTGACATATCAATTATCTTGCCAACTAGTAACATAATTAGAGTACTTTAGATAATATAAAACTCAAAACTGTGCTCAATATGTATTAAGTAATTATAGAGTTTGCACGCCAAACATTTGGTTCGATTAACAATCATAATTTGTGGTCAACCTCCTAAATCATATTTACCATTGATTGATGATAAAGTCATTTCATTAACCGAAATAGGTGTAATAATAAAGAGGGGGGGGGGGGGGGGGGAAGATAGAAAGAGAAAGAAAAAGAAAATATAAAAGAATGCAACGCATGTGATGGGATCCATTGGCAGGCACTAATGTCTAATGTCAACAGGGTTGACATGGGTACCACAAAACGACTGCTGTGATGATGTGCACGTGTGGCATACTTATCATCATCACATGTGAATGGTAAAAAAAATAAAAATAAAAATGAATATTTAGAATGATTAAGAAAATCCCACCTTGTTGACTCATGCCAAACAATTATCCTCCATGATATGATGCAAAGGAGGGCCATGGCAGTTCATGGAACCAAGTCATGCAGACACCAATCAGGACAAATACTTTTCTCAATTTATATATAATTTTAGGGCTCTCTAGAAAGGATTATGGCATTTGCCACTTCTTCTTTCACAATACCATTTCTGCACTTATTGTTAATCAGAGAGAAGAGAGGGATATTACTCACTTACCCTTCTCACAAAAATAAGTTGAAGGTGCTTTTAGGGGATTCCACCTCAGACAGAGATTGCAATAATTGAAGAGATGTTTCCATCAATTAGGTTTGATTACGCCCAGTCTTAAGACTAATATCACTGTATTAGATTACATTTCAGAGATCCTGTCACGGTGGCTTAAGCTGTTTGATTGCTAATAACATGCTTTAAAATTACTTTTCGATATAAAAGAAATACCACAGCATACTCCTTTTGAAAAAATTATAGTCATTCCTATTTCATTAGGAATGTCTATGGTTCTTATTCAAGTTGATGTAACTAGTTTTAACAATCTGTTGACCCAAAAAAGAAAAAAAACATTTTATTGGCATAAAGTTTTAAGGATTTTTCATTTTATTATTAACATTATCATCATATTTTATTTTATAAACAATATATCTATTTGGAAATATAAGTTCTATTTTAATATATTTATTATTTATATTTTATATTTTTTTATAAACACGTATTTTAAAGCTGTATTCCAAATATAACAGTAGATCTAAAATATCCCTTTTAAAAATTTATTATGTACCTAAATAAAGTTAAAAAAATGTTTTTTTTTATATTTAAAACAAGACATGTTTTATATATTTTTAAAAAAAAATTGGAGAAAATTTTAAAATGTGTATATCCAAAAAAAATATTATGTATAAAATTATTTTTTAAATAATTTAAATATTTTGTCCTCCTCGAACTATGATGATTTACCAATAATTAATTTAAAAAAATTAAAATGGAAGTATATATGAAGACGCATTAATTTATTAAGTGAATATTTTTGTCTTTTGTACTATCTATATGTTTTTATTAATTGAGTAATGAAATTATATATAATAAAACATTAAATTTAATAAAATAATATTTTTTATCATCAATAATTTATATCATTAATTGGCATAATTGTTATAATTATATTTATAATTTTAATTCAATAAAGATAATTTTCAATTTATATTTTAATAAAAAATATTTAAAATAATACATCACACATTAAAATAACGTTAGACAAAACAATATTCGAGTCCTGTTTAAGTAAAAAAAATAATATAAAAATAAATTAAACTTCTCCCAACTTATATTCCTTTATTTTTCAAAAAGTTTTGAAGAGTTCTCTCATTTATAGCTTATTTAAATATTGAATAAAAATATATTTTAATTTATAAAATAATTGTTTTAAAAAATATCTATAAAAATTTATCAAACTTAATGTTAATAGGAGTGTGAAAAGATCCGAAATAAAAATTTTAAAAAAATTATTGGATGAGAAAAACACCTTAGAAAACGGGATTTAAAACATGAACTAGTAAACAATAGTATTAGTACTAAGCGAGTGAGCATAACAATTGCGCGCGAACTCCACCTATCGCTAAAACAAATATGAATATTAGTATTGTGATTAGGGAGAAGGCAAAGGGCAATAAAGGAAGAAAGACACGATGATATGATACGATCCAAGTAAAGATTAAAGAAAGATGATAATAAAGCACCAACTTTTCCCCATTCAACCAAAACGTGCTTTTTTATTTTTGAAAATCATTTCAGGGCTTTTGCGTTTACCCTCTCTTTCTCTTTAATCTTTTAGGTAAAGCTTAGGAGCCTAAAAAAAAACAGGTCAAAATCCTCTCTCTTCATTCACCGCCAGACACAGTCCATGGCCGCCAACAAAAACTACGTCAACAACGCACACATTAACAACAGCCACATCTCAATAACTTTGTAACACTTGGTTCGTTCATTCATTCCACAACCAAAACAAATGCTCCTTCATGCTACCCCTTCTTCCCTCTTCTCATTGAAGAATCCTCCCACCTCGGTTTTCGTGCTCCGTTCCTACTTTTCATAAAACCCCATTTCTTCTCTCTCCCTCTTTCTCGCCAAAGCTTTTAGCTTTTTATCATTTGAGATCTGGGATTTGGTGGGTGGAGTTTTTTGGTTTCTGGGTTTACGGCATTTTTGAGTTCGAAGGTGAAGGAATGGGAAGCAAGTGGAAGAAAGCTAAGGTAGCGTTGGGTCTGAATCTGTGCATGTTCGTTCCCAGAACCTTAGATGATGAATCGCCGCCGGAGACCTTGGTTTCCGAGAGGCTTTCCGACGCTGCTCTGCTCTCGCCGGCTAACTGGGAAATGAGTTCTTCCCGGCCAACCACGCCGGTGTCGTCTTTTCACGGTTTGAAGCTGTCCAAAAGTAGCAGCAAATCGTCCAAGGTTTGTGTTTCTCATTGATTTCCTCTTACTCCCTCTTCTTCTTTCCTCTCTGTTGCCGGCGCGTGTGTGTGTGATTTATTTTTTAAAAATAAATATTTTGCTAAGCTCTATTTTGTTTGGTTGATTGTAAAAATCAAATGGACTAGAAAAAATGAATCTGCAAGATTGAAATATTTCTCTGGTTAAAATATTTTGTGCGGAAGGAATGATTTGTTTTTAGCGGAATTTGTTATTTTTGCCAACTGTTTAGGCCTCATACCTTGTTATTATCGGTATTATACTATTCTGAATATAATATTTAGTACACATTTATATTTTCAATGTGATAAATGTTATTTTTAATAAAAAATGTTATTTTTAATAAAAAAAAAATGTTGTTTTTGGTTGTTTAAATTCAGTCTTAAAGACTTGAGTTAATGTTTTTCCTATTATTAATTATTATTATTCGTTTGCAAGACTTCGATTGAGAGTAAACTGCGGTTTGGTGCTTGAAAACATATCTCATCCGTAATCTGGTCCCTGATTTAAAATTGATGTGTGATTTAGTTGTTAAATTATTTGAATTCGTTGGGAGTATGCAAATGAGTTTTGAATAATTTAAGGGCGGAATTGTGGGCGTTATTTAAGTGAGGGACTAAATTGCAAGTGTGTGCTACGTTATTTAGGGACCAAGATACCATCTTAGTTGTTTGATTCCTTCCTTTTATTGATTTTTGTTTCCTGTGTCTCTTTCAATCGGTGGTGACATGGGTAGTTCATAGAGCTGTGCTCTTTTGACTTGTTACAACACTGTCATGCGTGATTTTGAAGTTGTGTCAACAATTGTGCTTTTGATGTGCCTTAAGCTTATATTATTACCGTTTCTTGCCCCTTCTTGTGGATAAGATTCTCCTTTTCCTTTTTATTGGTTGTTGTTGTTCCTTTTTATTGGCTAAGTAGTTTTTTTTTTCTTTGCCAAAAGCGACCGTGATATGATATATGGGTTGGCTTGTTCATTTAATGAAGTCATAATAGCAGTTTTTGATGACTGAGGTAGAATTGATTTGCTGAATATTCAATTTTATGTGATTGGAGTATCTTTGGGTCAGTGTAAATGATGCTTTAGTCCCTTTCAGGAGTATTCTGGTTTGTCTGAGTAGACAAGATGATTAGATGTTTTACCACCCCTCCTAATCTCTGTATTTGAAAAGCCTATGGTTTGTTAGAGATGTTATGATTGATATTTGATAGTTAAGTCAATTTTGGCAAAAAAGCTGGAATTGTAAAAGAAATATAAGAATGGGAAAGGGTTGTTTTAGATCAATGTATTATTGCATTGCCCCTCTGCTTTTTCAGAAGTGCTTGTATGAACAGTATTATTAAATAACTTACTGAAATAGTTAAGCATACATATTTTCAATCTATTTAAGATTATTTCCTATTATGTCCATTATATGTTGAATTGAATAGCTAAAATGCAAGAGTGAATGACTGACGTCTCAGTTTGTGCTGGGAGAGGGGGGAAATTGAAACAATGTTAGATCTAAATGAAGAATTGCAACAATTTATTCCAGGATTTGATATGTATTTCATTTGGAAAATAACCTTTACCACTCATAATAGTGGAATTCAATTTGTGTTTGGAGCTTGGAAAATGAAATTGGAGATGCATTGCTTTTGTATGTCAAATCTGATTGATACTTATAGTGGTGCTAGAATCTATTTCATGTGGAACGCTTCATCACACACAATCAGTCCCAGAATTTGAAATAATGTATTAGCTGTGTAACGTGTCAGTTGTGATAAATTAGGTACTAATGTATTATTTGAACTGGAATTCAAATATTCCTGCATTTTTTGTTTTTGCTTGATTTTTCTTATTTGAAGTAGCGTTGTATTTGATATGTATACTGTAAGTATGCCATGCATAATTTGTTAATCGATTTTCTTTATTTGCACGAAGCCATGAACATTTGTGAAATAATTTACAATTTTACATAATATTATAGGTTCTGATAAGCTTTTATTTTGATCATTCAGCAAACCTGCTCAATATGCTTAACCAAAATGAAGCAAGGATCTGGGCATGCTATATTCACTGCTGAGTGTTCACACTCTTTCCATTTCCACTGCATAGCTTCAAATGTAAAACATGGAAACCAAATATGTCCAGTGTGCAGAGCAAAGTGGAAGGAAATACCCTTATCGGGTCCCAGTTTGGAACCTATCACAGGCAGAGTCGCACCAAGTCCAATAAATTGGCCCCAAAATGATGCTTTGATGGCTGTGGTCCACCGCCTACCTCTACCTCATCCTTGCCGAGATTTGAATAGGAGGTGTGTTTTGCCAATTTATCAGGCTTCTGAGCCTGGCATATTTGATGATGATGAATCCTTAAATCATCAACCTGCAATTTCTGAGAAAAGCCCTTGCAATAAGAATGGTGAAGATACTAATGCTGCTAGAGCATTGGAGATTAAAACGTATCCAGAAGTGGCTGTTGCTCCAGGACCCAAGACTTATTCAAACTTCACGATTTTGGTTCATCTCAAAGCTACTGCTGCTGCAGCAACTGATGCAGCCAAAAGACAAAACATTAGCAGAAACCAGGCTAGCTTGTCACAGATTTCTCAGACTCCACGTGCCCCTGTTGACTTGGTCACAGTGCTTGATGTTAGTGGTAGCATGGCTGGAACTAAGCTTGCACTACTAAAAAGAGCAATGGGATTTGTTATACAGAACCTAGGCTCTAATGACCGGCTCTCTGTTATTGCTTTCTCTTCCACAGCACGCCGGCTCTTTCCCTTGTGCAGAATGACTGATTCTGGGCGGCAACAGGCGTTGCATGCTGTTAATTCTTTGGTTGCAAATGGGGGTACGAATATTGCTGAAGGGCTTAGAAAAGGTGCGAAGATAATGGAAGACCGAAAGGAAAAAAATCCAGTTGGCAGTATTATACTGTTGTCTGATGGTCAAGATAATTACACTGTCAATTTTTCAGCTAACCAGCCCCAACCAAATTACGAGTTGCTTTTGCCTACTTCTATTAGTGGTCGTGATAATTCAGGATTTCAAATTCCTGTGCATGCTTTTGGATTTGGTGCAGATCATGATGCTTCTTCAATGCACTCGATTTCAGAGATTTCTGGTGGCACATTTTCTTTCATTGAGACTGAAGCCGTGTTGCAGGATGCATTTGCACAGTGCATTGGAGGACTTCTGAGTGTTGTTGTTCAGGAGCTGCAAGTGGGAATTGAGTGTATCCACCCAAATCTCAATCTTGTTTCACTTAAAGCAGGAAGTTACCCAACTCGTTTGATGGCTGATGTACGAAAAGGATTTATTGATGTTGGTGACTTGTATGCTGATGAAGAGAGGGATTTTCTAGTGTCAGTTAATGTGCCAGCAACATCTGGCAATGAAACATCATTGATAAAGGTCAAATGTGTGTACAAGGATCCCTTAACTCAGGAAACAGCAACGTTGGATGGTGAAGAAGTAAAGATTGAGAGGCCTGAAAGAGTTGGGGAGGTTGTAATGTCACTTGAAGTGGACAGGCAGCGCAACAGGCTCCAAGCAGCCGAGGCAATGGCCCAGGCTCGGGTCGCAGCTGAACAGGGTGACTTAACTGGAGCAGCATTGATCCTTGAAAACTGTAGAAAGATGCTGTCAGAGACTGTTTCGGCCAAATCTCATGATCGCCTTTGTGTTGCTTTGGATGCTGAGCTCAAGGAAATGCAAGAGCGGATGGCAAGTAGGCATGTGTATGAAGCATCTGGGAGAGCATATATACTTTCTGGATTGAGTTCGCACTCGTGGCAAAGAGCAACAGCAAGAGGTGATTCCACTGATAGGTCAAGTCTTGTTCAGTCATATCAGACTCCATCAATGGCTGAGATGCTTACTCGATCTCAGGCCATGTTACTAGGTAGTCCATCAGGCCAGAGGCTTCTGCAGCCATTGTTGTCATTCAGATCACAACCCAGCCCAAGGTGATCCAACGGGGATTTTGTGAAAACCATCTTCAAGTTAGCCTTTCCAGTGATTTTCCCTTTTTGCCTTATAAAATATCTGGGATAGGGTGGTAAACGGGAGACAAACAGAAGATTTCTTTGAGCTGGGATTTTGTTGTTAAATGAATGTATAAATGAATGAATAAAAGTTGAGGAAAGGGTGGAGGTTTACTAGCAATGGAGAAAAGGGCAATAGATAGGAATTTACTGCATTATGTTTCTTCTATTTTGGGGGGTTTTCTTTTGGCTTCACTTCTTTCCTCTAATTATGTCGTTTTTGGGGGGTGGTGTACATATAGAAGAATGGCTTTTTTGTGGGACACCTGGGTATAGAGTTTGTAACTGTGCAAATGGTTGGGATGATCTCATCAGTATAATATATATGTTTTCAATTCTTTCAGAAGTTGTTATTCAGTAATTTGTCCTTGGCATGTCTCCATCTTTAGGCATGCAAATGCACAAGGAAATATGGCAGTGGTGTCACGGTTAATGCTTGCGAATATGTAGGATTTCTTGTTCCTACCAATTTGACATGCCGGAGTAATATCTGTATCCAAGTATATGGGTATTGATGACACCGCTAAAACCCCTTTTTGTCGCAAGTATAGGGTTTGCATCTTGACGCAGAACTCTGCACCAGAAAACCAACAGTGAATTTGCACCAAAAGAAGATTTGATTTTAAATTGTTAATATCAGCCTTAAAAGTTGATTTCAACCATATGAAAGTGATAACATTTTATTAAAAAGATTCTAATAATATTTTTTTTACAGTACAATACAGCCTTGAATTAATTTTTAAAATTAATGTTAACACTCTACTAACAAATTATTTTATTAACATCAATTTTTAAGCATCCAAAAGAAATCATCTTTAGCTAGACACAAAAGGGATCTCCAATTTTGGTTGCTAGATTCATAGAAAATTTGACACTACACTTTTGCAGAGAGAAGTGCCATGACTTTGTTTGAGTAGAATTCTTCTAACCCGAATTCCCTTAGTATAGTCTCTGTACGGAATTACTTTAGCTTTGCTTCCTTATGATATCATTCCTTTACCCGGACCAATGATTTGAAATCGAGTACAAAAGAAAAGCCTACTGAAAATTATCATTTCGTTCCAGGATCCGCAGCAGTTGTTGCTTGCTTCCTGAGCCTATACCTGGTGAACTCCCTGGGGCTGAAAAGAAAGCTTAGAATTCGAGAAAAACATGGGAAATTCAGAACTAGTCTTCTGGGAGCTCAGGATGGGAAATCCAAATAATTACTACTCAATTCAATTCTGAATTTTGGTTTTTGTTATCATGCATTCGGAAGGTGGATGATAATGTCCACCACTCCAGCAACAGATTCTGATTACAGATAAGTAACCACGTCCTCATACAGTAATTCTAGGAGCTGTACGTAATTTTTTAACTAATGCAAACTTCAGTGTTGATCACCAAAACCACTATTTCTATTACATTTAGAATAATGCCACTAACAAGTATTCATGTTAACACTGAAATGAACCATGCGTATTAGAACTTGTGAATGCTAAAGTGGTCCGATTAGCATTGCTCTACGTTAACATCCAATATGCTCACTGCAAGAAAGGTAAAAAGACACAGAAAAACATGACAAGAAACATTTAAACGTTGTCAACCCTTATTACAGTATAACCAAGCATGTAGCTTTTGCTGTTCACCCTGAAGAACTTAAAAATCCTTGATACAAAAATTCTAGATTCAGAATTTATCTTACTTCCTCGCCCATAATTTTATACACAGTCAAAAGTCAAAACACTAACGATGCAAGGTAATAACAACCTCATTTGAAGATGAGAACTGGCTCTTAATTCTTTAATACTTGATTTTGAGCCCGGCACATCAGAAATTCTGAACAAAAATTGTTTTAAGTCCACCACTCTAATCTAGTCTCGCTTGCCCTCGTTTGGTTTAGGAATTTTCTTGTACTCATAATTGTTGATGTCCACTTTTTGTTGCAAAGCCTACACAACAACAAAGGAAAATTAGACTATGGATCTTACAGATTACATTTAATTGCTAATGAAAGAAGGGAAAACAGACCTTCAGCTCATTCTCCAACGAAATATTTTTTGGCTTGTATGCATCCACTGGGCCTGTTCTAGTCAATGCTTTTCTTGTTTCAATTATTTGCCATTCTTGATCATCTTTCAACTTTGCAATATCCTTGCTGGGAAGACACAGTTGCATATTATATTTTATGATAAGAATGGAGCAGAACAAGATCAGCATTGGGAAAACATAAAACTCAGAAATCCCTATACACTTTACAGCAAGAGGTTATTCACAAGGCAAGTCAAATCATGTCCTTGTCCTACAGCAGTCATATAACTCAGATCAACTATGTTACTCTCTGAAGCCTAGGCTTTCCTATTTTTCATTTCTTCTCCCGTGTCCCCATTGCTCAATTCCCAAATATAGCATAAAGGCTCTAAAGTAATTAACAAAATTTAAGCAAGATAGGGAATTTCTGTTGAATTCAAATATTAATCATTCACGCCCAAGTACCATAAGACTGAAAAACAATATAATGAGGTGGTTAATATCCTTGATAATGAATGATAAGTTACTGAAAGATGCAGCTACAAAGTAAGTAACAAACCTGCCTTGCAAGAGATGGGCAAGGCCAATAGAGCCAAGAACAGTGAGAGAGATCATAGGAAGGCCATATCTGACAAAGGGGGTTTTCCTACCCCATCTCTTAAATGAGGAAGTTGCTTTCTGAGTTGCTGCAGCCTCTCTCTCAAGTGTAGTCATTGTTGCCCACAAAATTCTTGCTTTCAAATCTCAGCTTAGGAATCTGATGGATACTGAAAACCCACCCAATCACCAATTTATTTATGCTAATGGATTTGACATTCTATCAAACATGTAGTGTCCATGTTACACACACATTCAAAAGACAACAACCAAACCTCAATCAACCCCACTCACACACAATTCGATTAGAAACTGAACGCTTCTTTTCCTCTAACAATCTATTCGTTAGCAACATTTGGGTTCATGTTTTATATCCTTTGGGAATTGAACCCTGTGCTGCTTAATCGCCTGTTTGACTAACGCAATTTTCAACTAAAACTTATTTTTTTAAGAAAAAAAAGATAAAGATCATATAATTTCTAGCGACAAATAAAAGATTTTTTAAGTGAAAAGATAATTTCTTTTATTTGTTCTGGAAAATAAAACATTAACTCGAGATGAGAATTGAATTCATGGTTTGGGGCATAGAAAGACCAAAGCTGTTTTTCAAGAACATGTTTTATTTTACATAGCCACAACCAAAAACTTACCTCTTCACACTGAGCTCCCCTTTTTTGGTGTTTTATTTTAACGGTGACGAAAGAATGTTATGAAAAAGGTAACAAGAGGGACAAAAATAAACAAAGCCTCTTCAATCGGGGAATGACACTGTTCGAGTTTGGTCACAATTTGAAAGAAAAACCCTTGCTTGCAACACCCAAAAGCAATTAAGCAAGGGAAAATTAATTAACTCCTTAAAATTAAAAATATTATTTTAATTTTTAAAATTACCTGATGTGGATTATTTAATTTTTTACTAGTCTAGTTCAACCTTAAGTGATTTGAAGTCCACAAAATTTAGTTCGCATTAAAGATGATGAAAATAACGTAAGTCTAAAATAAGGCGTGAGTGAAAGTATATGTAAATCGCCTTTTTTTAAAAAAAAAATTTAATTTTTTTTGAAAAAATTTTAAATATGTCCTAAATATTGTTAAAACATAAATCTTATTATTTTTTTAGCATTTATAAATATGTCAACGTGAACAACTTACAATTTAGTACAAGACATTATTAATGAGCATAAAGCGTGCTTAATTAATGTATAAATAAGTAATGAATAAGTTTATAATAGCTTTATGCCATTGCTACCAAATATTTTTGTTTTAAGATTTGAGTAAAATGTGTTATATTTACAAAGACTCAACCAAAATTTATACAATGATAATTTATATTATAAGTCACCCTAAATTAGAATATCTTATATTTTAAACATCAAACACACTCTATGCTTACTAGTAATATGTCTCGTATTAAAGCATAAGTTGCAAATCCTTCAAATGGTTAATGTATTAAGCATAAGTCTAGCAAGTTTGAATGATTTGCAGTTGAACATGTTCATGCTCAATGTTAGCAAGGAGCATATTAAATTGCAGGTTGCACAAACTTGATGTGACTTATATTTAATTTACAAAATATCTAAAAATAGCGTGATTTATGCTTTATCAACATTTAGGATATCTTTATTTTTTTTAAAAAAAAAAAGAATTTTTTAAAATTTTTTATTATATATATAAAAAAAGCAAAACATTCATGCCAATGAATAATTTTGAAGTGATTATTTATTGGTATGAATGTTTTGCTTTGGTCAACAACCATACAGAGTATCTTCTTCCGTTTGTCAATAACCATACAGAGTATTTATATGTTGTTGGTTTCATATATTTAACTTCAAATATAGTTTTGGCCCAAACCATATTAACCTAACTTAGACTCCTCTTATTGTTGTTGACCAAAAACAAAAAGACTCCTCTTATTGTCATGGGCAAATTGATTTAAGACATATTTTACATGAAATCTTTATTTTATAATTTTAAAGATTAAAATAGTTGTTCTTTAATAATTTTGATAAAATCTTTTATTTTCATCTCTTATATTTTCTACTTTTTTTCAAGAATCACTAGATAAAGGCTAGAAAATGTTAAATAGAAGATGAACATTGAACACGAAGTTTATGAAGTTATATATATAATTAAGTGTTAACAAATATTAGATGGAAACATGGCTATTTTAGGATTCGTTTAAATAACCCTAGACCGGTGTATTCTCCTTTTCATCTTGCAGTGAATTAATCTTACAGTGAACAATTATTCCGTAAAGCATATAATTTACCACTGTATTTTACATGTGAATAGAAACTTAAATCTACTTGCAAATTTAAATATGAAAAAAAAAACGTATAAATGAAAGTTTATCTTACATGAAAATGTTTAGAGGCAAATATGTCAAGTGCCAACTTAATGGAAGAAATCATTCCACTAAACAAAGTTATTCTTAATGGTCCAAGATAATTTTGTGAATTAAAAAAAATTATGAAAGAATAATGGAAGAATACAAGTCATAGAGAAGCTTCAGTCTATCAACTAGAGTATAGCTATAGCCATTTATGCAGAGCAAAAGTTAAACTGCATCAAAATTCTAATGTCTAAGTAGCATAACGAAAGCAACTATTCATTATTAGTTAAATTATTGCTGAGAGAAAAGAGACAACTAGGAGAGATTAAAACTTGAAAAAGAAAAAGAAAAAATTGCAAATTTTTTCAAGTCTGTCAGTTCACTTGCATGGCATTTTCTTCCATCTGGGTTGTGGATGCTGGTGAAATTTTGGACTTTTTGCATGGTTTTGAGACTTTGGAATTAGAGGGCTTAGGAACTAGTTTGCAACTCAATTTCTTAAGAATCATGTTCCAACTTCCCTTTGACTTCATCATTTTCTCCAAATCTTGTTTCATGCTCAAGCACTCCTTCTCAAGTTCAGCCACTTTCTCTTTCATGTTGTCAAAAGCTAAAACGGGGTTATGTGGTGTGTTGCCATCATGTGTTATCAAAGCAAGATTTGCATTCAGGTTTTGTGAGTTGTCAACATTATCAGAAGCAAAGAACCAACCAGCAACAGATGTACGAAGCTTCAGTTGTTCAAAGAACAAGACTTGGACTATAGTACGAAGTGGTAACCTCTCATTTTGGGCTGCATGTGTGCTGGCTTCCAATGATAGCTTCTGGCAGTTCATCAGCCTGCATATTTGTTCCTTCTCAGAGTCGGTCATCCATGGATGAGACTGAAATTGATCATCCATTAGTATTTTTCAAAGAACATAAGATAGTAAACTAAACTTTCAGGACATAAACTTCTAGAAGATTGCCTTATAGTCTTGCTCTCAAATGAAAATTAACATTTCTTCTATTTTTATTGAACATATGACTAAAACTTTTGTCACAATTATATAACACAATTACTGTAAGTAGTGAAGGTTTGTTATCATGGAACATGCTACATTTCCTAGGATATCATCACTGACTATTGAGGAACATCATGATTCAATATCATATTACGCATGCACAAGAAACATAACAAAAAAAAGATAATCAAAGTTTTTTTTTTTTAAAAAAAAATTCTGTACCTTGAGATATATATCAATTGCACGGTATATACCATCATCGAGGGTCCTGGCATGATCAGGAATTACAGCAGCAAGTGACTGAAATTTTGGTAACTTCACGTTTACATCAGGTGCTACTTCAGCCAAATAACAATCTATCAGATTAGCCACTTTTGTCATTGGGTTCGTAGGTTGAGAACCTCCAACTAAGCTCCTCTCTTCCTCTATATCATTAGATGTAGAATCAATAACATCATGCTCTAAAAGCATGAAATGATCAAGCATTCTCTGGACGCAGTCAATATCATGAAGAGTCTCCATTGAGTAGCCAATATTTGGAATCAAAAGATCTTCTAGATCTGCTTCATCTAATTGAGCACCAATTCTTTTCTCTAAGCTTGCACAGCAAGATGAACTAGCATATAAAGCCATCGCTGTCCTCAGACACCCAAGCAAAAACTTGGTTGGTGTCATACCCTTTTCATTTGGTAGCAACTCCACTATTTCCTCAATCAGATTCCTTTGATCTGCTTCAGAAGGGGTAGAAAGAGTTGACTTAAAAGCAGATGAGTTTCCATTCTGAGAACTTGTTTGACTACCCAATGAGGGTATGTTCTTTTTTGCATAGTGAACAAGTGATCCAGCAACTCTCTTAGGTTTCATGTTTCTTGCACTAGCACCCTGCATGAACCTTTTATACAATGGCAAACAAAGGGAAGAGACATCCTCAAACCACCAATCTTCACTTGATGCCTTTGGTGTTAGGCTTATTCCGTTCCACAGTTCTGCATCCTCTGGACTCTGAGCAACACTTGGACCAGAGAGAGGCAAGTTAACCAAACTTGGATCCGCAGCTTTCAACACCAAAGAATGTATGCACCGGGAAGTTATGTGAAGCTCTTCAGCCAAAGGTAAAACCTCTTCACATGTTTTAAGAGCCTTAATAGTGTCTGTCCAGAAACCAAATATGTGATTAAGGAAATTTTCAGTTTGTAAGATCAGATTTCCCTCTCCATAGTTCTCGGTCATTTGAAGGTAGTCAGCTGCACATCTGAGACCAACCACATTCAAAGGAGTCAAATTCATTTTAACACCATAACAAAACTTAGCAACAAGCAAAAATGCCTTGGCTCCTCCGGGTAGGTCATGAAGTTCCAAAACAGACTTGTCATTTTCCCTTGATAATTCTTTCATCAAACTTTCTAGTACTTTACTTCTTGATATCAGTGGAAACTGGTAATGCAGCAAGTAAGGAAGAGGTTAAAATCATGCATTATGTCAAGTAATGACAACAAGATAAATAAAAAAGGCAAAGCATCACACACCTTGTGGAGATGGAAGGATGTGTCACCGATTTCAATAATGACATCACTTGGAAGTCCAGTTGAGCAGAGCCTAGAGATGGGCATTTCACAGTCAACAAGATTAATACTTAATAATAAACCAGAACAATATTTCACTGATAAAAAATGGTGGATTATGTATAGATTAGATAGACTCTGTTGATACAACCTGGTTAAGAATTCAGCTTCATTTATTGCTATAGACCAAGAAAACTAGTAAAATGTTCAAAGAAGGAAATACCAGTATCAAGAGGTTGTATAAAAAACTTGAATATGGTGCAGAATTATCTAAAACTTAAATAAATTAATTAAATTAATCGATCTCATTGTTCTGAAGCATAGATAATTATTGCAGAAACATCAGGCCAATATGGGTTGGTCATATTAAGACAGAAAGATTAATGTGACTTAATTCTAAATCACATGAAAATTACCAGTGTCAATTCAAAATATTGATCACGTGACAGCACTACCTCGTAATAAAACAAACAATTACTGTTACATACTAAACAACTGATTTACTTTGCGACAATGCAAACATCTTCATTACCATGCATTCATCCTCACACAAACAGACAAATGAAAAACTTGTCTCCAGTGAACTTCAACATATAATAATAAGCTTGTCAAATGATGAAAGAAGTGAGAAACAACATACCAACTTTGTCCATAGAGGTAAAACATTTCGGATTTTGATCCCAGCTTCATGCATGCCATGTGTGTTACTTTCTTAACATCAAAATGTTCCTTCAAAGTTTCATAGAAAAAAATTAAAAGGGTAGTCCCTGCACTGCAAAATGGGTAGCTATTCCTTTTTTGCTCTCCTTGTTTCTGTTGTGGTACTTCAGATTTTTTCTCCGTTTCTCTCTCACACAGATGCGATCATTTTAGTTCTGCGAATGAAGAGAGTGCACACGTTATTCTAAAGGAGGAAATCTAGGAAGAAGAATAGGTTGCAGCTGTTATGCCAATGTGTAGTGTGTAGAGTGATTCTCTGATGAGGTTGTTACAATAATTTAACGCACGTTCTGAATATGTAATATCTATGTATTTGATTCTATTATTACAACTTCCGTTGCTCTTCGAGAACCAAAGCTAAATATTCATATCCTTAGCTAAGGAATGGTCATAGCACATTTATGACTTCGATTTTGATTCATTGTTTCTGAAGTTTACTATGATTCAATCGTGTTTATATATCAAAATAATCTTACTTTGTGCGTACTTGTTGTCATATAACTAAATGTTTTGTAAATAATAAAAAAATGGACTTATTTTTTATTTTGAAATGTATTTTTTAAAATACATTTATATAAACAATAAAAAATATTATATATACATATATAATTGAATTTTTTATATAATTTATTAGAATAATTCTTTTAACTTTTGTTGATAGATTTTATATTCAAACTTCATACAATAAAAGTTTATTGAATATAATTAAATTATTACCTAAAATTAAAATAGAAAATTATTAATATTATTTGCCTAATATGATAATTAATTATTATTCATACGCAGACACATATATGAAACTGCATATTAGAATTAAATAATATATATTATTTTAATATATTTTATTTTATTTATTAAACATATATATATTATAGTTAAAAATATTTTTATATAATTTTAAAATAATTAAATCTTGTACCAGTCAAATAATTTAATTATATTCAATAAATTTTTATTGTATGAGCTATTTATACTATAAATTTGAATATCAATCCTATTAACAAAATTTAAAAGAATTATTTTTATGATTATATTAAAATTATCATAAATTATTTTTATGTTTTTTAAAACGCCCTTTAGGCTAACAATATTAGGCGGTATTAAGCCGACTGACATGGTTGGGCCGGGTGGAGCTGAAAGAAACAAAATAGGGTAGAAGACCCAATATTTTGACCCAAATCTATACCACCGTGTAAAAAATATAAAAATAAAAATAAAAATATCGACCCAATCTATAGACCCAAAAAATTGACCAAAAACAAATAAAAGAACCCAAACACCCTCTGACCAGAAATAAATAAACACAAAACTCAAGTGTGGACTTGAAGAGAGAGTCTCGTCAACTGCATTGGCAATGGCAATGGCAATGGAAGCTCTGCTAAGACTTGTCTTTCTCTCCTTCTTCCTTCTTTCAATTGCATACTCTTCTCCTTCTCAACACATTCAGATCACCAATGCAGAACGCAGAGTATGTTCCCAATTCTCTTTTCATGTTTTCGCTCAAGATCTGTGGATAAATCGAGATAATTGTTTTCGGTTGGTGCTCACCGTGTAAAAAATTTGAACTTGTGAGATGGGCATGATAGATATGGTGGTTTTGCGTAGCTTTCCCTTCCTAAGAAGAACAAAAGTATCATCCCATAATTATTTGTTTTTGTGTCTCATTCTTCTTTTGGTGCCACTGTATTGTTTTTTAGAGTTATGGGCAATTCAAAGGTCCATTCTAGTTTGTTTGTTGGGGAAGTTCAGTTTTGGGGGAGGGGTGCAAGTGGACTACTTTGTGGTCTTTCTGATTCTTTTGTCCTATCAATGTAAGAGGAATATGGTTTTTGGTAAATTGAATTGGGAATATAGGATTAGTGCTTTATTATTTTCATAACATTGTTGATACTTATGTGTGATTATTTTATTTTATTTTTTTTGTTGAGGAAATATTGTATATCTTCCGCCATATTTTGGGCATCATTCAAATTCTCATTTTTATACATCTATTAACTAGTATGCTAATGATCCTTGCAGATTGATTTGAGTTCTCACATTATCAAGGTGTACCTGACATTGAAGGTAACCCCTCCATACTATTACTCTTTTGATAATAAGTCAATCTTGTCATGGTTGCCGCGTTGCATGTCTTCAGCTTTAAGGGTTTAAATTAAGTACAGTTAACAGATTTTCTTATGTCTAGATGTAATGGGTATACTTATTGGCATATAAAAACCATGTTTTGTTGTAGTCCAGATGAATTTTAATTTAGTTTCTATGAAAAGTGGTTTAAACCAAACTTGTGTTTATGCAAACAATGTGACGGCATTAGCACATCTTACAACCATGCATAATAGTTATACACTTAGGTCACACATGTTACATGAAAGGGGAAGGAGATTGTCAATTAAATAGCTGTTTGGAGATTTATTCTTTTTATGAAACTAAATATCTAAATGAGTACATGACAAAAGTCACAAACTTGGGGGGACGGTGGCATCCTCATGTTCCTCCTCGGCTCTACTATTGACCATTCCATGTGTGCTTAGAGTCTATTGAAACTAAATATCTAAAATTCTAAATCAGTATTTGTTTTGGCCAAATTTTTACTATTATTTGTTATTATTTCTTTTCAAGGGATTGTACTCTGAAAGAACCTCTTAAAAATTTGTAGATCCTATGTTTCATAGAGCTTTCCTTTCAGGTTGAAAATTCAGGGACATCTCCTGCTTCAGAAGTACATCTTGCTTTTTCCCCCACTGAAGTTGAACATTTAGCAATTTTCAAAGCTGCTGCAACTTCTGGGAAGAAGAAGAAGAAAACTTATGTCCCTCTTGATGTCAAATCTGCTGAGCTACCAGATGGACCAAATGGAACTAAGTTTTTCTCTATAACTCTGTTAACTCCACTACGTAAAGGTGAAACCACAACACTAGAGGTGCTTTACATATTGACCCATTCTCTGGAACCTTTCCCAGTAGAAATAAGTCAATCAGAGTCACAATTAGTCTATTTCCATGATAGTGCAATATTATTGTCCCCCTATCATGTCAAGCAACAGACAACTTTCATTAAGACACCAAGTACTCGGGTAGAATCATTCACGGTAGTGGAGCCCACTAAACGTGCTGGTACAGAGCTGAAATATGGGCCATATGACAATTATCACCCGTATTCATATTCTCCTGTACTTGTTCATTTTGAAAATAACAATCCGTTTGCTGTTGTTGAGGAGCTTGAACGAGAAATCGAAATATCTCACTGGGGAAGCATACAAGTCACAGAGCAATATAGGCTGGCCCATGCTGGTGCTCGACATAAAGGCGTTTTTTCAAGGTATAATTTGTTATCTTCTTTTCATTCTCCTCAATGCTTCAGATCTCCATTTAGTTCTTTGGTAAATAACTTCTGTAATTGTATTAAAAGGAATAGAAAATTTACCTACTTGTCAAAATGCTCTCTTCAACATGTTGAAGTGGTTGTTATTTTAGATGTTTGACATGGCCTATTTTCTAATATTTTTATTTATTTGTTGTATGGATGTTATTCTTATCTGTATTGTAATCTGTCAAAGTTCTTTCTTTTCTTTCCTTGAAAAATTATCTTGTTTTTCACAATTCTGTGTGGTTTGATAATTCAGTAGTAACTAAGATTTGTCTATTCCCTACATGTTTTAATTGCAACATTTGGTGGAAATATCAATGAATCATTCTTTTTTAAGGTAGATAATTGTAGAAAAGGATCAATTTAAGATCTTCATCACACCCAAGCAAGAGCAGACAGATTGATATACTCCATAGGCACCCTACATTACTTGTTCTATATTCTGTAGATTGCACAGACTTGTACTGTAATTATTACGCACATATCTGTAGGCTATTGCTCTTGAAGTTATTACTCTTCTACATTCTGTAAAGTGCACAGACTTATATTAATCATATTGTAATTTTTAAATTTGTCTGAATTTGTTCTGATGTTTTTCTCCTTTCATATACAAAGCTTTTCTAGTATGTATAACTGAGGATTGCTGTTGGCAGGGTTGAATATCAAACTAGACCTGGTGGTACTGGTGTTTCTTCATTTAAACATCTTCTAGCAAAACTACCCCCTAGGGTTCACTCAGTATATTACCGGGATGGAATAGGGAATATTTCCTCTTCACATCTGCGTACAGAGTCGCGGAAGGTAACATATATTATTAGGTCTTAAAAAACACATGCCTTTTTTCCTACCTTCCATTTGACAGTCGATCAAATTCATTTGTATATTTTTCTTTCTTCTAATGTCATGGGCATTGTTTCTTTTTCTTTTCCTCCTTTCTTTTGGGAGCCTTAACACTTGAGTTGAAGGGAAAACTAGAAAGCTATTTTACAGTTGTTTCTTCAATAGGTAACCACATGGTTGTATACATCATAAGTGAGGCATGGTGCATTTCACACTTTAAACTTGAAAAGCATCACTATCTTTAATATTTGGTCAATGATTATGTTTTACTGGAATACAGGGTAGCACTGACACCATAATGTCCCAATAATAACAGAAGTATAAATGGAAGAGAGATGACTTGTTTTAGTTTCTACATGTCATGTTTCTATATTAATGAACAGAAGAAGTTGTTTTGTGTATGTGTAGAGATCACAAAGGAGTTTAGTCTTGAATGACAAAAAGATACTTCATTTTTTTAACATGATTTTTTTTTTATAAAGTCATGTGTTCTTATTCTATACTTCTTTACATGTTGATTGATTGCAGTCAGAACTTGAAATTGAACCTCGTTATCCTCTATTTGGAGGCTGGAAAGCAACCTTTGTCATTGGTTATGGGCTACCATTGCAAGACTTCCTTTTTGAGTCTCCAGATGGAAAAAGATACCTCAATTTTACTTTTGGTTGCCCTCTTGTTGAGACAGTGGTTGACAAGTTGATTGTAAAAGTAAGTGTGAACTTGTGCCTTTTTTTTGCATTGTTATTGTTATCATTAAATGAAATTTGTGCTCCTTTGCTTCAACTGCTGTTGCTGTATGCAATAGTTTTGTTTACCCTTCTTGAACCATTTCAGGTTGTGCTGCCAGAGGGGTCCAAAGATCCCACAGCCGTGATTCCTTTTGAAGTAGAGCAACATCTAGAGGTAATGTTCTCTTGGGATAATTCTGCATATGCAACACTGGCTAAGTTTCAATTGTATATACATTATATCTACAATTGAGAGATTCATCTTCATATGCATTATTGACTTATAATTGTGTCAGCTGCATTTTTCTATCTTATCATGAAGATTAATTGTCAATAATGAGTTCAATTTCTCTATATCTGTATATTAAAACATTTGCAGTCAATTTAGCTCATGGAATTGGGAGAGCAGAACAACAACTAAAGAAACCTCATAATTGAGCATTTCAATTTACATTCCCAAAGTAGACACCCTAAAATTGATATCATGGAAACAATCTTGTTTAAATAATTGTAAAATATTAAAGATATGATTCTTGAGAACCTGTTTTAGCTTATAGAGAATTCACTGCCACTTTTTTTATTTTCCATGGAAAATCGACCTTGCTGTATTTTATAATTATATTTGTGGGTAAATGCTTTTTGTTAGTGGAAGCACATGGAGTCAGAAAAAGCCCAATTGTTCCTACACCGACACCCAAGAGATTTTGTTCTAACAAGATGTAATTGTGTGTGAGTTTATGTGTAATTAAGTCTGTTGAATCTGTATCAAATTTCATTGCATGACAGCAGTAAAAGGGCTCCCCACTTATGATTAGTCATTGTAGTCATGCATTTCTATCTGGTTGCACTCATCTTAGTTGCGAGTTTGACATACCATTGTAGCCAGGTTGATAGTGGTGACAAGGATTCTAATTCTTGATAGCTTAGCAGTATTAAAGCTCAACCTAAATGGTACTAGGGAAGTTGTTTATGTCAGTTAAGAGATTGTAACACCGTGGTGATTTGAGGTTGTAATGTATGAATATATGGATTTAGGCCTTTGCTTTATATATAGGGCTTTAGTGTCTGGTCAAATGGCCAACATAAACAATTACAAGGAGATCTGGCCTTCCTTGTACCTATTTGTTTGTATTTATTGTGAAAATATCCTACTATGTGACAAAGAGGGACTTGACTCTGAGGGTCCCTAATAGTAATGCTATCTTATCTTATATATACATTTCAACTCCAATTTCTTCAAGATGTTTCATTTTTGTTCTCTGAGTAGCATTTGATTCTGGCACAGAATTTCACTTCTTGTATTATTAGCATCAAGCATTTGATTCCCTGCAGCTAAAATGGTTTTAAATTTGAACTTTTGCAGACCAAGTATTCATATCTTGATGTTGTCGGCAGGACTGTAGTAGTTCTAGAAAAGAGAAATGCAGTTCCTGAGCATAATACTCCTTTCCAGGTAATTACCAAACCCAATGCAAAGAAAATTTTCTAAAACTGGTTTGGAATGTCAGCAATTCAGGGGTTCTAAGAGTAAAAAATATGTTTGGTGCACCCAAAATCAGGTATTATTGCCACATTTATTAAAATATGATTACACAATGAAAATTATCCTCTAGGATGTTTAGAATTAATTGTTGGCAATGACAGTTTATTCACCCCCCTCCCTCCCTCCCTTCCGAAAAAAATCTGAGTGAAAGTTATTGAGACATCATTGCTTGTCAAAACCAAGAAAATCATAGATTTCTCAAATAATTTTGAACAAAGTATTCTCTGCCGTCTTTCTCAGGTGACAAAACATGCAGCAGTATTTCCATGTTTTCAGTCACTACTTAATTTATGCTGAAATATGTTACTTCCCTACCCATGCCTCCTTTTGCTCATCCTTACTGTTTATTAGCATGTCTTTAAACCTAAAGCAATTCCAATTGTTGCATCTCTGATATTTAAATGATACGTGATGGATCAAGTTCATACAATTAATGTATTTTTAGTTCTGGCCTCTTGAACAAGGTTTGGATAGTTTTTTGTCCAAACCTTAATCGAAGCTGAAAAAGTATTGTAGAACACTTTTCCATGACTTTGTTATCTGCAACTACAATAATGGAAGTCATAGCATATTTCATAAGATGTTATGAAATCGTGGAGTTAATATTCTTAGTAAATTGCGCATAACTTGTCAAAGCTTGGTCTGAGATGAGTACACCTAACATTACATCATAAAGTTATCTTATTCATCATGTCCAGTCGGTCTATGGTTTTCATTCTATAATCTCCTCTAGAGTATGGTCTAACCATGTCTTTTATATTTTGGTAGGTATACTACAACTTTAACCCTATATTTATGCTTGCTGAGCCATTGATGCTGGCATCTGCATTTTTCTTGCTTTTTGTGGCTTCCGTGGCATATCTTCACGTTGATCTATCCATACGCAAATGATGAACATCTAGCTAGTTTACGAAAAGGTATGTGTTAAATCCCCCCTTTCAACTAATTTTTATGATTAAGAGTTAAAACATTATCTTTCGTCTTTGCTCTACGCTTTTAAGTGTTTTGGCTTGTTCAACAGGCAGTGACTGAGCAGATCCAATGGTTCTTATTTGAGAAGGTTATATAGCATTTTGGCAGCATTGTGTGGAATTAAGAGGACAAATTATAATTATAGATTTGCTTGTTTGTACGATTTTCCCCTGGCAATTCTATCTTATGCCATTCATTCAAATAACTTTCAACCATTTTAAAAACAAAGGATATGTTAGTTAAGGCCATCATCCTAAAGGCACGTAATGCTAAGAAACTTCTAAGGTCTTCCTTTGTAGGTGTTAGAAATATTTCAATGTGATACTTAGTAATCAATACCTGAAATGAAAAACTTTTTTGGTGAGGGGAACTTTAAAGTAATTTTTCCTAGTTTTGCGTTATGGCTAAACTATTGCAAATTTATTATTTAATAAGATATTCTTATAAGTGAATAATAATGTTGTCGAGTGCGAAATTGGAAAGAGAAATAGCCATTTGGTCATAAATTTTGCCTTCTATTTGAATGGCATCTTGGTTAGAATTTTACGTTATTAAATTTATGCTTGGGCATTGTTTCCTCTTAAACACTCCTAAAATTTCATAAGTCTGAAAACGTGTTCTTTAATAATAGACTTATTGTTGCGACATCCAATATTTAATAATGCGAATTAGCAAAGAAAACGAATATCATGTAGATTTTTTTTTTTAAAATATCTTATCTTTCAGTGATAATGAGCTAGAGGAAAATGCCACCTCTTTGGAGAGAGAGAAAAAAAAAATGGAACTGTCAAAATTTACATTATTTCCCAATTTTTTTTTGTTCCATAAAGTTCTCCCAGTTTGAAAATTTGTAGAACGCAAAATAACATTTCTTGGGTTCTCTTAAGATTTGAGATGAAGAAAGAAAAAGAAAACTAGAAGTAAAAGTTCTTTAAATTAGCTTTGAAAAACACCTTCTTTTTTTGGTTAAGTTTTCTTCATTAATTTTTTAAAAGTTTATTAAATTTTTGGTCTAAAAGTTTATTTTCTTAAGCTATGACATGTAAGTAATATTTATCTAGAAAGAAATGCCCAAGCCCAACCCTCATGGATTAAAAGTGAAAGCGCACGGTTTTGATGGTAATAATTCAAGCTCTTTCATAGAGTCGAGAAGAAAAAAAAAATAGAGCTCTTTATCTGCAAGCAACATTGATAAGGTAATAATGCTATCCAAATCAATTTATTTGGAATTTCAGCCATGTGTACTACTTCATATGTAACCCTAAGAACATGCAAATTTTCATCTTTAAGAATCCATTAATTGAATCAGCTTGGAACGGAAGAAGCTGACAAGCTTTTCGTCATCTTCTTGAGCAAGCTATATTCAAACCCAGACAGTGCTTCTTCCACACTTGTTACGGAACCAATCTAAGAACCTCTTCATCTTATAGGTAAAGAGTTTTCAGGGATTGTTTAAAAGGGAATTTTTGAAAGGCAAGGGAGGGGCTGATAAATTTATTATTTTTAAATTAAATACTAGTCAGAAATTCGTTGTGACATATTTTATTGATAATATTTACTATTAAAATTTTTCAACAACCATAATCTTCTTTTGTCAAATTTTTAACCTTCTTTTTGGGTTTTATAGCATTACTTTACTTTTTTCACGAAAAAAAAAACATTTACTAATTAAAATATAACTGTCACAGAGGCACAGAGCCATGCAAGTCCAAAACTCAACGTTGTTATATAGAAATATAGGAGCATAAAATGCTTAGAAGAAAAAGAAATACAGAAAGAAAAGTAAAAGAAAAGAAAAGTGAAAGATTTGATGATTGATGTGATAGAAAATAAATGTTAGTTATTTATAAATTATCAAAGATTTTGTATTTATCCAAGAAAAAAAAAACGTTTTGACCGGGTAAGAGAAGAATGAGACATGAGATGGAACACAGGCAACAAAGGCTTATGAAGTACAGTGGTTGAAAACGGCTTAGGAGTCAATACATTGGTTGGGTGCCATTCCAATTCCTTCTTTTAAGCAACCTTTGAAGGGACACCATCCTCATTCTTTGGGTCCCCCTCTCGTGGTAGTTATGATTCAGATAACTAGTTCTTGACTATTACTATTTCTTGAGCTTGTAATTTAATTAGTTATTACTCAATGAATCATACTTATTTTATCTAATATTGTCCAAACGAAACTTGATATCTTTTAAAAAATTTTGTCCAGTCAAAGATTTTTAAAATTTCCTTAATTATTTAAATTAATAATTTATTATTTTCAAACAATATTAGATACAATAAGATAGTTTTAAATCATATGCAAAATAAATTTTCAACAATTATAATAGCATGGAGAATGTTTTTAAAATTAAATATTTTAAAAGTCTGTTTTTAATATTTTTATAAGTACTGTAATAAAATTACTTAATTTTGGGTAATTACAAATACCAGTGAATGCATGGTGATTTGAAAAGAAAATAGCATGAAAAACTAGCATTAATCCCCGCAAGTGATGTTGGTTGATTCTGTATTTCATTAAATTATAATTAAGTATTAACTACCAAATCATGCCATGGACAAAGGAAGCTGCCATCTCCTTCGTATTTAAGTATTTCTCAAGTTTGAAGTTTGAAGCAGGACCACCCTTTTACTCATACCCTATTGCCCTCTTCTATGCCACTAAATTACTTTTTTATTTTAATTTCAAACATTTTTTAACCATTCAGAATAACAATACTACTATGAATCTTCCTTAGGTTGTATAAAAAAAGGGCATGAATAATTGTTTTCATAAAACATGTTATAAGAAAAAAAATTGTAAAATAAAAACATTTTACATTAATACAAACATATATATATATATATATATATAAACATTAACTTTTGTCCTTAAAATTGAGAACTTTTTATCAGATTTCATTTAAAAATATCATTTTGAAATATAATAATAAATATTATATTTTTTATAAAAACATATTATTTATACATACTTAAAATTAACTCTAAATATTAAAGTTAACAAAATTGTATATATTTTAGAATTATCTGTGTCATTTGCAACAACTATGTTGTAATTCTATCAATTTAATTAATCTAAAATGAATTGAACCACTTAAAACCCATTTTCATTTCCAATTCAGTTTAGTTATGAATTAATATAGTACTGACCAAGTACCATACATCTGAGATCAAATTTTGTTGTACCAAAAAATTTGGTCTGTGAATGTTGAAAATCGTCCTCCTATAGTAGTCACAATTAGTGCAATTATTTCTCAAAAAAATTTTAAAAAATTATATCAAAAAATAAAAATATTAAATCAATAATTATATTTGTATATTTATTTTTATTATATTATCTATTATGTTTATTATTATTATTATTATTTTATCTCTTCCTTCTGTCTATTTCTTCACATTCGTTATGGGATGAGAACTTTTTATTGGATCATATAGTGACGTGGGTTTTAGTTTTGGAGCGAAAACGATAAGGGCAATATTGTAAGTTCACTTGGTCTAACATCATGTACAACGAAAACACGGACAAGGTAGTTTATTGTTGAAACCCGGAATATCGGAACAGAGGAACAGAGGAAGAAGACGACGAAGAAAGATCATTGCGACTGCCTTCTCAATTTTGATTCTCTGAATCCCTCTTCTGGGATCAGAGGATCACATTATCATCGTCTTCTTCCTCGCAGGTATCTCCATATGCATCTATCTGCATTTGAATTTGCATTTTGCATTCATTCAATAGAGCCTCCGAAATTGTCATTTTTTTTGGCGTCTGAAACGTCTAAAAATTCGATTTTGAGGCACTATTAGGTGTTTTTTATGATTTCTGGAAATGGGTGTTCCGCAGAGTGAGAGAAAAATGGAAGGGTGGCTCTATCTCATTCGCCCCAACCGGTTTGGTCAGCCTTACTCACGTAAGAGGTACTTCATTCTCAAAGACAATATCCTCAGAAGCTTCAAGATCCAACCCTCTTCCCAAATGGAGGTGAATTTCTCGTATAAACTATTTTCATTTATCTGTTTCTCAAGAGTTTGCTAATAAATCTTTATCCTTTGATCAGATTGAAAGAATGAGGATTGAATACTGTTTAATATGAACATGATCGGTATTGCTTGTAACCGATTCAAAAATGTTAATTTTCATATTTTTCCTGTTGTTTTGATTCTAGGTGCACGCGCAGAAAAAAAATTAAAAAAAAATAGTTTAATGATTCGTTTTCCCATATTTGTTGTGTTATGGATGACAGTTTTAATAAGGTTTTGGATTCATTTACATATTTTTCTAATTTCATAGATTTGCAAAGTACATTGTTATGTTTTATTGCTAGCTAGGTAAACGTAATGCATTGGTTTTATAATGAATGACGTAATATTTCACATTTATGATTATAAGGCACTAAAATTTCTACAAACCATTATGGCATGCAATGACTGAATAGCTAGTTTTGCTAAATGAAAGCGTTTTATTTTCAGGAGCCAGTTAGAAGTGCAATGATCGACTCCTGCATTCGGGTTAATGACAATGGAAGGGAGAGCATCAACAGAAAAGTAATAATGATAGATACTTTTTTTTTCTAATCAATTTTCGGTTCTCTGAACAATAATGCATTGTTTCTTTGAACACTGAATAATTGTATTTGCAAATTTGTTTGCATTGCAGTTGTTCTTTATTTTCACCGTCTATAATGCTACAAATCAAAGTGATAAGCTTAAGGTATGTTAAAACTAAAAATTCAAACAAAATATTGTGACAAGATTGATTCATGGTTTAAATTCTACATCGATATACAGTTGGGAGCGAGTAGTACAGAAGAAGTAGCAAGATGGATACGTTCCTTGCAGGATGCTGCATTGAAGGTTATACTCTTTAACTTAATGAGTAGAATGATTGTTTCGTGACAAGAAACTTATTTTATTGTATATTTTTCAGGAGTGCCCAGCTCCAGCAAAGAATCTTGTGGCTTATTCCAAGAAGAGACGTTCAACTTTGAGGTTCAATATCGACTACTTTCAAATATTTATAATTCTGCACTTTCTTCATCTTCTTTTTGTTGAATATTTGAAACGAAGATAATTACTGTAATACTCCTTCAGTCCTTTGTGCTATATCATTATTTTGAGAGATGAATGTCGATAAATGTACCTACATTATCTTGAACTAGTCATGTTGATCTTGGTGTATGTGTGAATTATATTTATATAAAATTATACTGATTATGTTGTATAAAATATATATGCTTAATGTCTAAAGTGTTCTCAAAACAGATATGGAGGCTCAAAAAGCGCAGATTGGAAATACTCATACTCTGACATCAATTTTCAGTCATGCATATACACTGAAGCCATGACCTCTGATGTTATTGCACCTTCACCATGGAAGATTTTTGGTTGTCAGAATGGTAAATCTTTGGCTCCTAGTACACACATAGCTGGTGGCTTTATATGTATCTAATATTTCATTGCTTGTGCAGGCCTAAGGATGTTCAAAGAAGCCAAAGACTGGGATTCACATGGAAGTGTAAGTTGCCCCTAACTAGGTAATACTTTGTTTCTGTAAACTGGTCAATTCATCCGAAGAAGTGATTTTTTTTTTTTCCTTATTCAGCATTGGGGTGATCACCCAGCAATAATGGCAGTTGGTGTGGTTGATGCAACTTCAGAGGATATCTTCCATACTCTTATGTCTCTTGATCCCTCAAGATCAGAGTAAGCATTCTAAATTTCCATTTTTAACTTGGAAAAATTCTTGTAACATACTCTTTATTATTCTTTGAAATTTAGAGCCACATGATTTACTACTAAGTTACCAAGTTTCTTGTAGATGGGACTTTTGTATTTATCGAGGCAACGTGGTTGATCACCTTGATGGTCACACAGATATTATTCACCTGATGCTGTACAATGATTGGCTACCATGGTAGGATACATATGAAACCTTGTCACCCAGAGTTCATACTAAACATGTTAATATTTTCATTATATATAATGCTCAGGGGAACGAAACCAAGAGATTTATTACTACGAAGATATTGGAGGAGAGAGGAAGATGGCACATATGGTAATGTTTTATGAAGTAAATGATATATTGTGAAGATATGGTTCATTGTTATCTATCACTTAATTTTATTTTTTTTATGTTTGATTCTGTAACAGTGGTATTGTACCATTCTGTATATCATTCCAAGTGTCCACCCAAGAGCGGCTACGTCCGAGCTTGCCTTAAAAGTAATGTATGCTTTAAATTTGAGATTATTGTTTAACCTTTCAATGATACCTATAGATTATGGTGGTCAAAATGCTACTAATCATGACATCCCTAAAATCAGTAATTTTTTTATTAGTTTACCAAAATCAGGAAAATGCCAAAAATAGCACGATCATGGCTAAAAATAAAATTGAAAAAGGAGGTTTTTATCACATTTTATATTTATGGTAGGTGGAGGATTTGTGGTGAGTCCTGTTAACAAAGGAACGCAATCAGTTGTAAGACATATGCTTGCTATTGATTGGAAGTTTTGGAAATTGTATTTGCGCCTCTCATCTTCAAGATCCATAACCATTCGTATGCTTGAGAGAATTGCCGGTACGTTTATTAATTATTAGTATATGATGATAAAGCTACATGGCAGACTTTGCAGTGCCATGTAATATTTTATATAATTTTTTTTTATGATCCCCTTTTTGCAGCATTAAGAGAGTTGTTTAGAACCAAAACAGGAAATTGCTCTGCTGAAGTTGAGCCAATTACAATGACCAAAGATATTGGGTTGCCTCTTAATGTAAAGGAGGAAATTAAGACACAAGTTCCAAAAAAGAATGGAAAGGTTGAGGATCTTATTGTAATGACAGATGAGGAGGAGAAAGAACATGGTGGTCCTACAAGTTTAATGGGAATGAATGATGCTGATGAGTTCTTTGATGTTCCTGAATCTACGGACTATGATCCCTTTGAGAATGAATGGCACTCTGACATGGGTTCAGAACAACTGGTATTTTTGCATTCCAATAACATGCCTTCTCTTACAAGGAATCTCATTACACAGTAACATATAATCATATATGCCTTCTATGTTCCCAACATTGTCACATGTTTGTGTTATTTATTATCTAAAGGATCTTTTTGTATGATAATTGATATACATTGACAAAGTTCTAGATTACAAGGTGCTCTTTTAACACTAGTTAAAGGAATATAAAGTGAAAAGATTTTTTTTTCATAAACACCTTATATTATATTAAAAATTATGAGAGAAGTTTATTTATTATATTTTTTTTACAAACATCTTTGATACTTTAGCAATGCCCTGAAGGCACTTATTAGCATTTGCATTTTGATAATATCAATTGTTGATGGAATTGATATAATGGGATGTGCAGACTGCGTCCCACCCCAGAATATCTTCAGCTGCTGGTTTGGTAAAAAAATTACACGACCTTGCAGGTTAGGGTTGTTATTTATCATTTAAACTTTCAATAAGATTATTTTGAGTAGAACGGATTTTTTTGTTCAAATGAGTTTTTGAGAAAATGGTTCCAAAATTTAAACATATGTTGCATGCAGTTCACAAAAAGGGGTATATGGACTTGCAAGAGGCTGCTAGGGAGGAAAGTGCATCATGCTCTTATGGATCCACTCTTCTTAAAGATCCAAATTGTACTTTACCCAATAGCTGGGCTGCTTCTGATCCATCTTTGTTCTTGGTTCGAGGAGAAAATTATTTACAAGACCAGCAGAAGGTTTTTTTTTAATTCATGTTTTTCATCTTTAATTGATAAGCTATCATTTGCTCTTTATTTGTTAAATTCATTATGTTGCAAAGGAAATGTTAAAAATTACAAAATTTTAGTGTCGTCGTTCTGTTCAGAAAATCATGAACCCTGAGATATCGTAAAAAGAATGCGACATTTTTATAACAATTTTTTTCACGTGTGATCAGAAACATTATAAATAGTAAATTTTTATTAAAAATTACATAATCTAGTGTATTGATAATATTAAATGTTATAATTTTTAATAAAAATTTTACTATTTATCAATTTCTTATAATATGTTTTCGGACATTCATTAGAAAAATTATTTTTATGATTACTATTCAAGGTGGAATTGTAAATCATATCCGTTGTTCTGTCTGATACTTGTGAAAGGCTTCAATGATGCTAATGTTTCCAACTGTAGTAAACTAGTGTACATACTTTTCCCTGGTTCAATAAGTAAACAAATTTAAATTTTTCTTTACTAGATCAAGGCAAACGGCACTTTGATGCAATTGGTTGGTGTAGATTGGCTTCGTTCTAACACACGAGAAGATAATTTGAGTGGTCGTCCTGATTCCATAGTTCAGGTAATCCTTTGCTTCATACTTTGTGTCTATTTACTTTTATGATTAAAGGGTCCCAATTATATTGTCGCAAAATAAGTGCCAAAAATTTATTATATTTTGTGCTTTTGGATTTATTCAGCAATATGCAGCAAAAGGTGGTCCAGAATTCTTTTTTGTTATCAACATACAAGTGAGTATAACCTCATGTACATTATTATATTTCATCATCCTTAAGTGTTGGATCTAATGTGTACTATTGCCATGGATCAGGTGCCCGGAAGTCCCAATTATTCCATTTCACTCTACTATATGATCAAAACGCCTTTGGAAGACAATCCCTTATTGCTGAGCTTTGTAGAAGGAGATGATGCCTATAGGAACTCAAGATTCAAGCTGATACCATATATTTCTAAGGTGCATGACATGTCTAAGATTTAAGCCACATTTGTAAAGTTGGTGACAAGCCATAAATTGAAACAAAAATTCAAGGAGGGTCAAGATGACTATCTAATGGTTTCCATTCCCATGCTATTTGTTTCTCTCAGGGATCTTGGATTGTCAAGCAAAGTGTTGGAAAGAAAGCATGTTTGGTGGGGCAAGCGCTAGAAACAATTTATATTCGTGGGAAGAACTATCTAGAGGTAACATTGCCAAAACTTTATAATACTTTTTTCAGATACACACATAACCAAGCTTATAGTTGACATTTCATACAAAATTTCATTATTCTTTTCAGCTTTCTTCTCTTGTTTTATAAGCTAACATTGAAATTATTTTTATCGTATTAGCTTGATATCGATGTTGGATCTTCAACAGTAGCAAGGGGGGTAGTGAGCCTAGTTCTTGGATACCTGAACAATTTGGTGGTAGAAATGGCATTTTTGATACAGGTAAAAATAATTTATCAAATGGTTACATAACATGCTAGCTATTAGACCAAGACCATGGTCATTAACATTCAAATGCTAACAATTTTGGAATTTGGATTGCCATACTAAAATCAGATATCTGAAAACCTCTGCAGGCTAACACACAAGATGAACTCCCAGAAGTCCTCCTTGGAACATGTCGACTAAATCACATGGATGCATCAAAAGCAATTTTTGTGACATCATAGATTAGACCTGGAATTCCTTCTGTCTTTGAGGAGAAGGAAGAAGCTGATACTCCAACATCAGTAAGAACAAGAGCAAAATCAAAATTAGGGTCAGAAATGCTACATGTAATATAGGAGATGCTTCTTGTTAGCAATTGATGTTGGTGGTAGCAGTTTTCCTATGATTTTTTGCTGGGGCTTATCAATTATCAAACCAATGTTCCTTAATTTTCTCTCTAATGATATGTTGCACCAAAAATAATTCTATGGCTTGGTTGATGCCACGATTTAATATAATATGCAAATCGGACATGAAAAAAAAATTACCAAAAAGAGAAAGAAAAAGGAGTGTACATTAGCACAATTGAAACGCTCTTTACAATACCGATTTTCTGGCTTTGGCTCATGTCCATTTTGATTTATTTTTTTTCATTAGTATTTGTTATTTATTTCCAATTAAATTCAATTTTTCTCTCTCACATCAAAATAAAAATATAACAATAATTAAAAAAAAAATGCTACTTCTATAAGCAGCTCAGTTATACACTTAAGATCAATTTTTTTCAAAATAAGATATGCCGTCATTTTTAAAAATGGTCTAATGGTAATGACCTTAGATTTGTTTGACTCTTGTACAAAACTTTCTTTACTAATTTTTAATTTTATTCATTTCAAGTTTCTTCCATCATCTCTTAAGTTGTTTTATTTGATTATTTTAAAATAAAGAGTCTATTTTAATGTGTTCTAGCTGTTTAGATTATCATCAAATTATCTAATTGTTTTGATATTTCTTAGTTGTCGTTTTTGGTTATTACTTCTGAGGGTTTGGGTTTATTTTTCGCATCCATTACTTACAATAGGATACAATTAATTAGGGTTAGTAAAATAGAAATTTATGTATAGTTGACGTTCATTTCTTTTCTCGCGTAAACCTCCATAGAATAACGTTCTAAGAGTCGGGAGTGCTCTATACAACTATGTTAAAATTATGCAATTTTAAATTTTATATGTATCAAAATTCGATCATTAAATTATGGGCATTCGTACTTCTTAAAACTAAAAAACATTTTTTATATATATTTAGATTAATTTTTTAAAAATAAAAAAACAAAAAATTGTTTCTAAAATATTAAAAAAATTAACGCCATAGAAAAACTACATAATATTTTTTATTTTTATAATTAACAAATCTTTATAAACTTTAGGGTTAGTTTACTAGGGTTTTACTGTTTCGTATAATTAAGTACTAATTTTTAATAACAATTTATCTATAAACAAGTAGTATTCAATTGTTTGTAGGCAGTATGAGAAATAAGATTCCATTAAAAAAAAGTATGAGTGATTGGATATTCTACGAGGTTTCGAATCTTAATTTCTCTATAAAGCTGCCTGCACCTTCCAAGTGTCCCTAAATTATAATCATTTAGGAATAAACATATATATACGCCAATTTTTTTATTATTAATTCTTTTAGGACAGTGTTACTCCTTTTTTAATTTTTTTTTTACAAAACGGATGAAACGTTAATATTTTAACCACAAAATAAAATATTTTGAAATAATATTTTTATTAACAACCTTAAAAGATAAATAAAAAACTGGGGGACAAAATACAAACACAAATCATTTATATTTTTCTTTATTTTGTCACTGTTCTTGTATATTTTATTGGTCAATTCTAGAAAACTATTTCTTTTGGGTCTGGGCTTTTCTTAACAACTTGGGCCTGGGCTAGAACTCTAGTTGACCTTCACTTTGGACAAGGCATTTAACATTTGGGCTTATCCCCCTTTGAAAATGTAAAAGTGCATGGGATTCAAAGTTAGGCCTAGGTTTTTCTTATAAAAAAAATTAAGGCGTATTCTGAAAACGAAGGGTGGGCTACTGGGCTTTTAGGTTGTCTTAGCCAGACCTGGTTCTTATAAGCTATTTATTAATATTAAAAACTGTAATTATGTTAAAAAAATAACAACTGTAATTAGAAAAAAGTAATATAAAAAACTACAACAAACATGATACATTAATTATTTATAAACCAATTACAATTTATGATTATAATTGAAATTATTTTGCCATGAATAGGAAAAGTTTATGATTTCATAGCTCACAAAGTTACTATTAAAATAAACGAATTTCTAAAAAATTAGAGTATTGAATGTGACTATACTATAGGCCTAGCTTTTGATCACTACTGTTCTAAAAACAAATGACATAGTACGGTGACCATACCCCTCCACATTATCTGTGCAATTATTACGAGCAACAGCCAAGGATGACGGGCAGTAGATGTCAAAAGTTTTCAAGTATGCACTGTATTAGTGCAAAATAGTATCCAATGGTGCACCATACTGTTCACCAATCCATCAACAGCCACACCACATAGCATACATTTTGTACATTCACCTTGTTAGTTTTCATCTATAATTCGGATTCAAGTCTGTTCATTTTTACTTTTAGTCTCTTCAAAAAAACTGTAAATGATAATAGTTTTTCTCTTAATTGACACTTTATTTTATGAATTATCATTAAATGCAGGCTAAATGTGATCTTCTTGCTCTTGCCATTATCAAGTGTTTAGTGCTACATGTTGATTTTTGTGATGAGGAATAATGCTATTTCTATATAACATTGCTTCATCTTGTTTTTCTTCCCCCCAAAATGTGTGGGAGGGCTACCAACCAATATCAGGCACGTACAGGTTCTGGGGTGTCAGAATCCAAGTCAAGCTTGAATTTAATCCAAGTAAATTATATGTGGCTAAAAACTTTCTAAAACGTATCATATATACATTTTTTTTTTCTTGTAAGAGTATAGACATCAAACATTGTCTGAGTATATCATTATTGTTGAAACGGACTGTTCTAAAATAATTTGCGAAACATTTTAAAAAATAATAAGAAAGATGTCGGTCGTATGAGTGAAATAGTTCCAGTGATGTTGATTTGTGCATCATGGTTATTGCTTTGCTTCTTATGTGCCTTTTTTGGCATTTTTCTGGTTATGGGGTATACCTATTTGGTTCTTAATTAATTTTGTACATAAACTCCAAACATGGTTTGGGCTTTGAGACAAAGTTGCCTCTAGTAGTAGAACTTGGGTAGGCCCACAAAAATTGATATCCAACCTTCTCACCAAAATCAAGTCACTTGATTAAAAAAATGTAAAAGGAAAAACAAAAACAACTCATAATTTACAAGCTCAAATTTACCATCATTTTTCAAAACCCTTTTGAATACAACATATATATGGTTATAACATAAATGACACCTTTTTAAAATAAAATGTTAGTCTTAAAAAGAGGTCCATCCAAAACTGTTGTGTATACGTTTATCCTACTCTCCATGTTCTATAACTCTTTTATAATTGGACTGTGATTGATAAATACAGTGTTTTGAGACCTTTGGTGTTGTGTCCCCCAATGCCTTTGATAAGGAGTGGGTTGCCACTCTCCATGACACCATGTATTTAGATTTCTTTTTTCCACGTGGTGTTGATGTGCTCCCTTGAATGGAATGCACCCACACAGCCCTTATTTTTCATTCCCCAAAAGGCCCTTCCTTGAGTGGCTACAAAATCATTTTATACAAGGGCAAGAAAGTACTTTGGGACGCATACAAATCTAAAATTACGACGTCGTCCCCACGTTGTGTCATCTGATTGTGGCACCCACGTGGCACATGTCCGCATTGAAAGATCTTTATTGTCTATTGAAGGGCGCACACTTATATTAATAATTGCAATTTTTGTTTAAAACTAAAGAATTATGGAAAATACATTGTTAGTCCTCAGCTCACATGCAACCATCGCTTTCACTTCCCTATTCTCGGCGTTTAATTCGGTGATTGAAATGCTTATGTTTATGTTATTTTCTAAATAATATCCAATTTCTTCACAAATTAAATAAATCTACACCCACGTGACATCATCACGTGTTTCATTTATTTTTCTTTTGCGGTCCAGCACACTGCATGTCGTATGAGTCCGCAAAACAAAGACAATTTATGTCTACAATGTAATAATATTAATAATAATTATAAGAGGGCCCTGTATTCCCTTCTCAACAGTTTTACAAAGGAAAAATAGTTATACAGTACAGTGACAAACCCGAATGTTGTTGCTGTATATTCTCCTGCCATGCATATTATAAAAGCAAGAATATAAAGATAGAATGTGTTTGACAAGGTTCATGAAAGTAAAAACTGATTAGTTAATTAACTATTTTGTACTAAATGAAACCTATTTAACAAAGGAAATTGTTTTAATAATTAGTTTTTGTTTTGAAAAAAATATTTCATGAATATTTTTTGAAAACATAACATTTGAGTTTGTAAGTTTCAAATGTATTTTTTGTATTTATTATCTTATCATAATTTTTAATTTTTATATTATTTTATACTTATCAATTAAATGAAAAGTTAAATTAGTAACTATTTTTAGGTTAATAGTCAGTTTGTTAGTTTTAAATTTGTAGGTTTTGAATTCTAACAAAAATTTTAATTGTCGGTTAATTGATCTACTAAGTTTACCATACATATATAGTTTCAAATTTTAGATGTTCTCCACTTCTACTTATCAATTACATGGTATGGACTGCACAGTTTAGTGAAAACACCTTCATACAGATACAAGTCTACTTGTCATTTCATTTTGTGAAAATAGGATGTTTGGATCATATGTATTTTATTCTGGTGGAAAGAGGCGGATAGTCCAAACTCATACTTAAAAATTGTACTTAAGAGGAGGAACTTTTATAAATAATATTAAAATCTAAATTAAGTATGTTTAAAATCAGATCAAACGTTTTTTTTAAAGAACGATAAATCCGAAAGAAAAAAAAAATCAAAATCCCATTGATTTCTATGCTACATCGTATACCATATGGTTGTTGTATCAATTATTGAAAATTATAATAAAAAAGTGTAATGGTATTATCTGGTTATTTTCAGATAATATATATACTAATGAGAAAAAAACTTTGAAAACAAAGAGTGAAGAATATCAAAAAGAGGAATAAATGTTGAG